ACCAAACATGCTCGCCCTTTCAGCCGTGGGGCGTTATAATGTGACGGTCACTCCCACTATCCGTTGGTAAAAGGGTAGCCCAAGAGTTGGCGGTGGGTGGTGATGACCCTCTAGTCTTACACTGCTAAATTAGGGAATGCTAGCGCAGATAGCCCTCGTGTAGCTTTGCGCGAAATCAATAACAAACAAATAAACATTATTTACGTGAATATCCCTTCACGTGGATGGCATAGATAGAATCAGAACATCAAGTCTGGGTACTTAACGTGTACCATAAAGCTTATGATAGAGATTCATAGTAGTAGTTAATAAGCTAAAAACAAGATGCCTGAAATCAAGACCTTGCGATCACCATCTAGGCAATATCACGACTGATTGTATTAGATCCATCGATGTTTGCCTTTAGTATCTTTATTCAAATAGTCATTTTATTTTGCAAATTTGAATGGGAATCACGGTGATTCATGCTGAAAAGTCTGCTAAAATTTCTCGTTCGTTTTGTCGGCAACAACAATAAAATAAACTAAATCTTAACGACCTGAATTAATATTGTTATGAATTTAACATGCACATTCTGATACGTGAAAGGAAATATCTCACATCTTCAATCTAGAACTGTGTCTGTTATAAATAATGAGTAAAGAAATAAATAACTTGATCCAAATATAATTACACATGTGTACATATGTTTCACAGTTACATCTCTGTATCAATCAAACTAAATAATTTCTTCTTTCCGTTTCTCACTGTGCTGTCAACTTTCGTTTCTGGTTATCTGTGTCTTTTTTTTTCTCTCGCAGTGCTTTTTTTTTGTTCTTGCTCGAGACCTTCATCGCCATAGGTGGTTTTTTATGACCTTCTCAGAACCATCGATTAAGAGCACTATGATTGGAACCAATATTTATACTCACTTTATTGAACTTGATTATTGGTCTGATACAGTACTAGCACAAACTGAATTCAATTTCATGCCTGCTAAGCTTAAATGTATGGTGTCATGAAAGCAGCTCAGCATGAACCTACAATACAATTAATAAAAGTAGCTATATATATATATATATGAGGTAGAAATCAATGATATTGCATACTGTCTTTCCAAAATAGGAGTCAAATAGCAATGCATACTGTCTTTCCAAAATAGTAGTCAAATAGCATTGCATACTGTCTTTCCAAAATAGGAGTCAAATAGCATTGCATACTGTCTTTCCAAAATAGGAGTCAAATAGTATTGCATACTGTCTTTCT